AAGTAGCAATAATGCATTCATAAAAACTTATTTTCATAAAAAGTGATTTCTCCAAAGCATAAATATTAATAGCATAGCAAAATGGTGGTATATGATGTTGCTGGCAGAAACATCAATTTAAATAGCTATCAGTGCTTAATATTACCTTTATACCTTCATAAGATATAAGGATATTAGGTGAGGGTTTGCAGCATGTGGGTGGAGTATAGAAATAAAAAAATACAAAATGCATTGAAGAGAGTAGGAAGGACCGTTTCAGTTACATGCACTGCCCTTCTGCCACTTCGCAGTAGGACTGAAAGGTGAGGTTCCTTCCTTGTGGGAAATAAATTGAAATAAACACTGACATTTGCTTCAGATCCCAGTGCTAGATTTTTCCCAAAAGAACTTAGTGCCAAGCAGCCCATGACAGCTTCAGATTCATGGGTTGTACCTGTAGACCATGTCTTCAGTCCCTACCCAATGTCAGACTAACCCTTTTTTTTTTGAGAGTTTAATTTCATATTTATTTTATTTTTTTAACTTTTATTTAATGAATATAAATTTTCAAAGTACAGCTTATGGATTACAGTGGGTCCCCCCCCCCATAACTTCCCTCCCATCTGCAACCCTCCCCTTTCCCACTCCCTCTCCCCTTCCATTCACATCAAGATACATTTTCAATTCTCTTTATATACAGAAGATCAGTTTAGCATATATTAAGTAAAGATTTCAACAGTTTGCACCCACATAGAAACACAAAGTGAAAAATACTGTTTGAGTACTAGTTATAGCATTAAATCACAATGTACAGCACATTAAGGACAGAGATCCTACATGAGGAGTAAATGCACAGTGACTCCTGTTGTTGACTTAACAAATTGACACTCTTGTTTATGGCCTCAGTAATCACCCTAGGCTCTTGTCATGAGTTGCCAAGGCTATGGAAGCCTTTTGAGTTCACCAACTCTGATCATATTTAGACAAGGTCATAGTCAAAGTGGAAGTTCTCTCCTCCCTTCAGAGAAAGGTACCTCCTTCTTTGATGACCTGTTCTTTTCACTGGGATCTCACTTGCGGAGATCTTTCATGTAGGTTTTTGTTTGTTTGTTTGTTTTGTTTTTTTTTTTGCCAGAGTGTTTTGGCTTTCCATGCCTGTAATACTCTCATGGGCTTTTCAGCCAGATCCATGTGCCTTAAGGGCTGATTCTGAGGCCAGAGTGCTGTTTAGGACATCTGCCATTCTATGGGTCTGCTGTGTGTCTCGCTTCCCATATTGGATCGTTCTCTCCCTTTTTTATTCTATCAGCTAGTATTTGCAGACTCTAGTCTTGTTTATGTGATCCCTTTGGCTCTTAGTCCTATCATTATGATCAATTGTGAACAGAAATTGATCACTGGGACTAGTGAGATGGCATTGATACATGCCACCTTGATGGGATTGAATTGGAATCCCCTGGTATGTTTCTAACTCTACCGTTTGAGGTAAGTCAGCTTGAGCATGTCCTGAATTGCACATCTCTTCCCTCTCTTACTCCCACTCTTATATTTAACAGCGACTGTTGACTGTTGATGAACAACTTAATACGTTATCCCTCTTAGTATTTTTTTTGTTTATTTGTTCTACTTAATACTTTTGGTTGAATACTGTAATCAATACACAGTTATTCTCAAGTGTGGAAACTTAACTGAGAAGTAATCGCTGTTAAATATAAGAGTGGGAGTAAGAGAGGGAAGAGATGTGCAATTCGGGACATGCTCAAGCTGACTTACCTCAAACGGTAGAGTTAACCCTTTCCATCTATGTATTAGCCCAGGCTGAACTACAAGTGTCAGATTCCAAGTTATCACCAACAGACCCAACATTTCTAGGTTTACTCAAGAGATAAAGATGCCTTTTAGGATACAGTCTTCAAACTGTTCCCCTCATCCCCACCGTGTAGGTCAGCCTCCATTGCTGTAGGCACCAGGCAGAACTATGGACCCATGCTCTATGCCCATCCCAGAGGTCTCAGGATCTAGGGGCACCTCAGTATACCCTAATGTCAGGTCATTTCCCCATGCACTGAGATTCCTGGATCATCCTTGCTGATCTAATCAGTATGTCCCCCCATGTGGACTTTAGCACAAGGCCAGCTCCTGTGGATTCAAGATGCTTATGTGACCCAGAAGATCCAAGCTCCAGGTTTGTCATAGTTGGTAGTTCAGGCTCTAAACCCAATCCTGTTTACGTATATGTCAGCAGTTCACATGTTGAACCAGGTACCAATTCACTCTTGTTAAGGACTTTAGCAGCAAGCTCATTCACAGAGCATGGAAGTCAGCTTGCCCAGTAGCAATGAAGGACACACGGGGACTTTTCCTGAAGAAAGAGAATTCTTCAGGCTAAAAGAACTGTACTAGTTATTCACATGAAAACATGGTGTAAGATTCATTTGAAAAAGTGCATTCATATTCAAATTCAGAATAAAGCAGTTCAGTAATGGTGTTTTGCATATCGCATACATTTATTATGAAGATTATGAGATTATTATTAAAGGGACTAATAATTTGTTTAAAGATGTAACACAAAACAATGTAACTTGTATCTTAAAAATCATATTGGATGAATTGTAAAACAGCGTTTTGTTGTGCATCTGTGAACAGCTTAAAATAGACTGTTTTATCTGTATTTTTTGAAAGCTTCATAGTAGCTACAAGTAAAAAGAAACTGCAGTAGATACATAAAAGTATGTGGTCACTGCATCTAACAACAGAAACTCATCAAATCACAATGAAGAATAGCATAAAAGGACAGGTGAACAAAGGACCCACAAAACAACCTAAATATATATATATATATATATACACACACACACACACACACACACACATATATATATGTGTATATATCTATACATATATATATAACATATATATATATATAAAAGCCAGGAGCCAGTTGCTTTTTCCTGGTCTCCCACGCGGGTGCAGGCACCCAAGCACTTGGGCCATCCTCCCCTGCCCTCCTGGTCCACAGCAGAGAGCTGGACTGGAAGAGGAGCAACCGGGACTAGAACCCGGTACCTGTATGGGATGTCGGCACTGCAGGCGGAGGATTAACCAAGTGAGCCATGGCACCGGCCCCAACATTATTATTATATTGAGAATATCTTGGCCGGCGCCACAGCTCACTAGGCTAATCCTCCGCCTGCGGCACCGGCACACTGGTTTCTAGTCCGGTCGGGGTGCCGGATTCTGTCCCAGTTGCCCCTCTTCCAGGCCAGCTCTCTGCTGTGGCCCGGGAGTGCAGTGGAGGATGGGCCAAGTGCTTGGGTCCCAGTACCTGCATGGGAGACCGGGAGGAAGCACCCGGGTCCTGGCTTCGGATCAGCCACATCTAAGATAGGCTGTTTTTGTCATGATGTCATTGAAGGGCAAACCGTGCTATAAGAGTGCAGTGCTTGGCTTTCACTCGCTCTGTTGTCAGGAATTAGCCCACTTACTTCTTTTTCATTATCACTTCATTTTTTTCAGAATTCAAAGGCATTTTATCCATCTTTGAAAATATTTTTAATTCCTCATATGAATTTGTAGCATTTTCCAAGGAGAAAGCTTTCAGTTATTTGTGTTTTTCAGTTGTCTCTGATCAAGTATGTGCTACAGTAATTTTGTTTTGCATCATTAAGTAGCAACACCTTTTCATTCTCTTGATTTTTTTCATTTATTTGTTTTTAGATCCCATAATTAGTGTGCGTTGTAGATGTTATCTCTGTGATTTGAGGTCTTCATGGCATTTAACATTCTTTCCTTTTTGAATTTTTAATTTTCATAGAAAATCTTGTGTTCTGACATGTGGGATAACTGTTGTAACTAGTTTATATTTATAGTCAAATTACTTCATTTCACATACAGGCAAAGGTCTTGCATTTCATTTTGTTTTGAAACACTATCCCTTTCTGTTTAGGGAAAAAGTGATGTTGAAGATAAAAATAGTAATGCTGCATCATGAACGCAGACACTGATTTTTGTTTCAATTGGAATAAATTTTGAGTTGTTTTTAGTGTCAAACATCCCTTCCCATTTTCCTTTGTAAATCTGCTGTTTCCTAGACTAGTAGCTTAGTTTGACAAGTGCTAGAACACTGGTTGAACAGTACTTCAAGCAGTACTTTGGATCTAAGGACATTGCTGCACAGTATTTATTCATAAGACTGTGACAGCACCTGCTGAGGAATTCTAGCATGTGTCACAACTCCAGGTATTAGGCTTAAGATATGACTGTGGTTGCTGCCACTTTCCATGATGTACTATCTTCTGCTATAGGCATGAGGAATTTCTCTTAACATGCATTTCTCTCATGCTCTGTAAGATTTGTAAAGTGGTTTTTTTTTTTTTTTTTAGTTGATATGTGCCTCTTCCTTGTTAAGAGATTTGACTGTATAACAGTCTCAAGACCAAATAAGAAAATCTGACATAAAGATTGTGTTTTCTATCTGTGAATGCCAGTATATTGCCTGACCTCTCATAGATGCTGTGTTAAGTGTTGATTTTCATGAATCCTTGAACTAAACCTGAACTTAGTAAAGCACAATTACTAAACCTGTTAAGCCATCTATAATGTTTGGTTTGAAAGTAATACTGCTAAGTGAGTTTCACTCCTAACCAGAAGATGACCTCATATGCATAAAAATGCTTTACCATGGAAGTGTTATGTTAGTAGTAGAAACATTGAAGTATTGAATGTTGAAAGGAGGGAGTAGTTCAATGATTTCTGGCAGTGATTGGGAAGGTGACAAAGGGATTTGGATCATTTGATCAGAAGGTCTGCTCTGGTCTTTAAAGAATATGAGGAGTAGGAAAGTAAGAAAGAATAAGAACTCGCAGCATGCTGTTTCTCTCAGAATGTATTTGAAACAAGATCAGTTTGGTGTGTGGCATTGATATTGCACATACTTTTGAATGTTTTCATCCTGTGTCATGAAGGTTATGGTTTTTCCCTGGATCTCATGCTTACTGTCTTTTCATACTCTCTCCCCTAAGAATTACCTGAGATGCCATATATTGAAGAGGAAGTGGAAGAAACAGAGTCATGGGCGAAGCCTCTTGTCCACCTCTGGCAGACGAAATCCCCTAACTTTGTGGCTGAACAAGAGTATAATGCAACCGTAGCAAAAATGGAACCACACTGTGCTATCTGCACTCTGCTCATGCCTTACTACAAGGTACCTGGGGGCTGCTGTTGTCAAGTTTCCTTTCTCTGTTGTATCACCATTATGTTAACTGTGAGTCATTATATGTGGAGTATGCACTCAGAAGTGTATATTGTGGTATTTCTGTAGATAAGAGTCTTTCTAGATTAGTAGTTCTCTGTGTTGTTTGAGAGCCATGTTTCAGATGCTACTTTATCTCTTTTGAATATTTTGCCTTATTTCAAGGAATGGATCATTCTGTCCACTCTGCTTCTTTTACCAAGAAACACAGAACTTAAATATTATAAATAGTAGAAACAGAGAAATCTTAGATGTAGTCTGTTTTATGCTTGAAAATGAGATTATCAGATTATATTAACATCAGCTGCAAGCACAAATTTTTAACATCTCTCTTCAGTTTCCCATGTGTACATTGAAATGACACAGCCAACACTCAGTACGAATTGTTGAGGTCATGCTCATCAGCCAGTTGTGCTCAGTGTTTTCCACATCATTTCACGTAGTCAGCACTGACGATAAAGTCATACGCTTTAGCACCAATACAGATGAAATGATTTTTAGGAATCGTATAATGTGTGATCCTATGATATAAAGTATATTGTATGAACATTTTCTTTTATGTTATATTTTCACTAATAGAATAAGAAATATTTGAGATCACCTCTCTTCCATGTCAAGTCAAGTCTATTTAGTTCAGACATTTCAAAGCAAGAAAATGTGTGCCAGCTTGCATTTTCTTAACTTTGTAAATATTCACTTCATGTTTTGAATGTGCCACTGGTGAGCAATAACCATTATTTTTTGTTTTTGTATTCATTACATTTCTGTTTTAAATTTTTACTGATTCTTATTTATGATTGATTTCTTCTTTGCCTCCTGATGATCTATGGTCTTCTTGCTTTTGACAGGCAGAGTTAGAGAGAGAGAGAGAAAGGTCTTTCTTTTTTCTATTGATTCATCCCCCAAATGGCTGCTACGGCCGGTGCGCTGTGCCGATCCGAAGCCAGAAGCCAGGTGCTTCCTCCTGATCTCCCATGCAGGTGCAGGGCCTAGGCACTTGGGCATAGGATTAGCCAAGTGAGCCATGGCGCCAGCCTATGATTGATTTCTAAGCTTATTAGTTTAGTGGAAAGGCAGAGAGAGAGGAATCTTCCATTCTCTATTGGTTCACTCCCCAAATGCCTGCAATGGTTATTGTTGTGTCAGGTCAAAGCCAGGAGCCAGGAACTCAATCCATGTCAGACTCTGCTGTCACCCAGTATTTGCATTATCAGGAAGAGAATTAGAAACAGAACCAAACCCAGGCATGCTTCTATGGATTGTGAATATTCCAAGTAGCATCCTAACTGCTATGCAGAATGCCTACCCCTGAGTCTTTTTTGACAAAATCTGCCTTTGTTTTCCAGTGAGCCCAAAATTCCAACTGAGATGTTAAGATTGAGAAATTTATTAGTATAAGATTCATATATATTAGTGAGAGATGACCAGTGGTTTTGTTTTTGTTTTTTGGCACATCAATTGGTAAAATTTGTCAGATTTCCTTCTCATGTTGTTTAAATCTTTGAGGTGAGACAAAAGCCTTTGATGTCTCCTTCAGTGCTATTGCAAAGATGAAAACCAGTTCTTTAAAAATACTCCTTGAAGTGTAACTGGGTAAGATTCTTCAGTAAGTGCAAGCAAACAAACAAGAATATTCATCAGAACGATTGATGCTTTCCATGAACTACTTCTGGAAGAATACAGTTTTATAAGTTCATTTTCGTATTTGAGCAGACATATAGAATATTTTCTTGTTCTTACAAATTAGCTTCTAAATGTGAATCTGAGGAGGAGCATTGGAAATAAAGCTAATACTTGGGTCAGGAAATAAAACAGGGAGTACAAATTTGGAAGTCAGTGACTAGAACGGGTGTTGATATTGGATGGTCAGGGTAGATCATGAACTCCTATCTATGTTTCTCACTCCTGTGGAAATATTTTGTTTTTCAGCCGGATAGCAGCAATGAAGAAAATGATTCTAAATGGGAGACAAAATTAGACGATGTGATTACCTCAGGAGGAAAGACTAAACCCCTCATTCCTGAGATGTGCTTTATTTATAGTGAGGAAAATATAGAATATTCTCCACCCAATGCCTTCCTTGAAGAAGATGGAACAAGTCTTCTGATATCCTGTGCAAAGTGCTGCGTACGGGTTCATGCAAGTAAATGAATCTGACATTCATCAATTGCTGGCTTTGCATACTCTTGGCTTCTTACTTCTTGTGGAATCAGGAGCCGGAAGTGGATATTGAACCTGGGCATTCCTCATCCTCTTTGTGACAATTTGAAATGAATATTCCTTTGGTGATTAAGAGAATACTGCTTTTACTGAATTTTATGTCTATTCATTATAACTATAGACAAATCCAGTTAATTATTATAGTTGTTTTTCCCCCAGACTGAGATGGCTTGGCCCTATTCTTGTCTCAACTTGCTGTTTTTATACAATTGAATACATTGTAAATACATATTTTCTATTGGCTTGCCATTTGAATTCTATACAATATTTCCAGGGTTTTGCTATAAACTACTATTTTTAAATGCATCTTAATATACTAGATGTTACTAATTCACATATCTACTTACATAAGCATGTGTCATGTGTGGCCTACCTCTTTCAATGTGTTCATTATAGCTATCTTTTTCTGTGTTTATCCTAGGGTAATAATAGTCTTTCCTTTAGTAGTCATAGCTGCATCTCCAAGGGAAGTATAATAGCAGTCTTCTTTTAGATTGATAGCAATTTAAAACACAAACACACATTTACACACATTTGTCTTCATTTATTATGTGTATGCAAGAGGAACAGTGCCAGAATATGAAAAAATTGGTTTTTAATCTTGGTTCGTGAATATACCAACTGTATAATTTAGTCATAATATTTCCTTTCCTTGAATTCAATATTTATTGATTTATTTAACTATGAAAGGGTTTTTTTGTTAATTACATATAAATTATTTTTATTCCCTATCTCAAATGTTAATATTAAAATTTACTTATTTAATGTTTTCACATTATACACTGTCTATATCTATCAAATGATCACAACTGTACTCCATAAGTATATATAATTATTATGTGTTAAATAAAAAAATTATTTTAATCTTTCCAGACCCTCTGATTTTTGATGGTTGGCGTAACATGTATTTCATGATGCCACATAATTCTACATAGATTACACTGTCAGCCATCTCATTAGATAGCTATTTTGGGCCAGACATATACTGAATAGGCAAACTGAATTAAAGACATTCTCTTCATCACCAACAATGGCTTGTTTAGCCTGTGTCTTTTCTCTGAAGTCAAGCCTAATTATAGTTTTTTTTTTAACATAATTTATGATTACATTAACTAATATTTCTTTATTGTGTTAAAATGTCTTCAAACTCTGCTGCATACACCATACTTGTGAACACCATACATGTGTGGGTAGCAATTTATTTTTGTCCATTCGGTTTATAATTATTTTCAGTATTTTCTATGACAACTGTTGTGAGCATCAGTTAGAAATAAGCTAAACATGCTTATGTTTTTTGGGACCGATTTTGTATTACTTATGAAGCATGAAAACCGAAAGTGTCTTTGGAACAGTCTTGTTCACATTGTGTTCTAAGTATTGGGAATCAAACCAGTATGTTATAGGCTGTTGTTCTCCTATTATAAGTTTTGGTGCTAACATGTATAATATTTTAAGAAATAGTAGATGTAATGCGTTGATCTATTTTTTTTTTTTTTTTCAGGCTGTTATGGTATCCCTTCTCATGAGATCTGTGATGGCTGGCTGTGTGTCCGGTGCAAAAAAAATGCATGGACTGCAGTAAGTGGCTTCTTTCGGTATCACTTTTCCTCTCCCCTCTGTCACTGTAAACACATTTAACTCTAGCAGATCGATATGATTATACATATGCTTTTGTATGCAATTCCATATTTCCTTCTCTTTCTAGGCTTCCATCTCCTAATAATTTTACATGCTATGTTTTACATCCTTTGTAGAAATGTTAGGTGAATTTCTAGACATCAGTATTCTACTTAGCTAATTTGAGAATTGCTAGTTAAATTTACATTTTAAAAGTCTCAAAACTTTGCTTTCTTTTCCTGTTCTGTCTAATTTTGCAGTTTTCAAAATAGACCTTTTAAATAATAGTCAAATTGTTGTCTTCAGGTTCTCTTTTGAAAACTCACTCATTTTCCACTTTTCCAATAGTCAAAATCTTTCCCCTGCTTATTTAACTTTCTGTTTTAGTAAATTTTAGCGTGTCTGCTCTGTGTTTGCAATTACTGTGAACTTGATTCAAGAACTTTATCAACAAAGAATCACATCTTTGGGGGACACTGATTACTTTTTTATTTTTTAATTTATTTTTTTAAGGAATGCAAATTTCGTAAGTACAGCTTTAGGGATATAGTTATTCTTCCTATCATACCCGCCCTACCACCCACACTCCCATTCCTCCCCCTCCTAGCTTTCCCCTTGCCAGTCCCATTCCACATTAAGATTCATTTTTAATTAACTTTGTACACAGAAGACCAACTCTATATTATGTGAAGATTTCGACAGATTGCTTTTGATCTGAATTGATTTACTTACAAATCCTGTTGAAACTTTTCATTCCATTATTCTTCTGTGTCACATATTTTGCCATGAATTTGTTATTTCTTAATTTTTCTTATAAACATATCTTTCAATAGGAATCAGAACTGTGTCTCCTACTGATGTTCTCAGAGCAAGTGCTTAGCTTGATTATTACAATTTATAGGAGTAGCATTTGCTTGCTTACAGAGTGATATGTAATGACAAAGACTGAAATTTCCTCTCAACTAATGTTAAAATTAGAAGGAGAATGTAAGGAATATGCCTTACATGATGAAAATGTCTTTCATCATTATGTATACTTAGACTCAGTGTGAAAATAAACATATGGTTTATTATAAGAGTCCAAGAGGGGCGTCTTTTCCAGTAGTTTTATTTCTGGTCTCACTTAGGTAATTGATGTCAGAGGTAATCTCTCCCAGTCAAGAGGAAATATGTAGACCTAATAAGCATCTTAGTATGCTTTCTTTGGTGAGGTCGTTATGTTAGCACAAACATTTATAGAACATCTTTGAACAAACCAAGAAAAAAATCTTACCATTCAGATCCTATTCCATTATACGAGCCAAAGTCACATTCTGTAGATTGAGTTTGACCAATGGTGTTCTCTCATTCATTCTGAAGCATTACTTTAGAAATGACTGGTCATTTAGTCTAGTTCACTTAGGCATTAAGAGTTCTCTGTTCCATCCACAGTTACTGCCTGGCTCCTGTGCTCACACACTGAGCAGTCCTGTTTTCCAAGGTACCCTTGTCCATTGCATGGCAGAGTCAGGTCCAGGCCTATGCCACCTACGCTAATTTTCAAGCTCGTTTTGATTGATTGTGATTATGCTGTTTTCATGTAGCATGTTTTAAAAACACAGCACTCTGATACACTCACTTAGAATTAATTTATTTAAAACATCTATTAATCTTAACCTGTGACCCCTCAAAAAACAGTCTTGAAATTTGTAACAGAACTGGAAACTTGAATATAGCTGTCCAATGATTCTCAGGCCTACATGGTTTCTTATTTCTAACTGGAAATGATCCATAGTGACTGTACCTGCCAGTTATCCTTTCAGTTTTTCAGTTTTGAGTTTTTCAGTTTATCTGTTTGTCAGTGAAGCTGCGTGCCTATTTTCCTGGGAAATAATGTAATTCTGGTTTAAGAACTGCAGAGAAGTAACTTATAGTATTGATATTCTGACTTTAACATTCTGATTTTATATAGTAGTGATTGTTGTGATATTAATTTTTACTAAAGTCTTAAGTATGGTTTTGCTTAATTCTTTTTCTTGAATAATGGAATTTTAAAATAATTTTAAATAATTCTTATTTATTTATTATTTATATTATTTATTATATTATTATATTATTTATTATTTATAAATAATTCTTATTTATTCAGACATCCATCTTGTACTGTCAGTTTCAGATTCCAGATGACCCTACACCTTCTTTTTGAATGGAGCTACTAGAGAAACAAGTCTAATAGTGTAGCTCAGGTCAAATAATATTCTAGTGCTGGCTTTTACTTCACTAACTCTCATTCCTAATTATTTCTTATGATTTTTTTTTAAACATGCCTTGCAAAGTTAAAAGTTACTTATCACCAGTGCCTAACAACATATTGAGCTTGTGATGTGTAACTATGCAAGAAATGTGATTGTTTTATTCCCTTACCATAAGTGCTTTCGAATACCTTGTGTTCAATTTTATAAGATATATGTGAGACTTAATGTGGTAGTTTTATAAAGATTTTTTAAAAATATATTATATCAACACTATATTATTAAGTTAAGAATTAGTAATATTTAAAGGAAAGGAATCTTAGGACTTCTTTCTTATAATTCCTGGCAATGCATAAAACATACATGCATACATTTGTTAGAATGTAGAGAGTTCTGTCAACTTCAACCTGCATGAGGTCATACAGGGTGTATTCAAGGCTAGAATCAATACTCACAAAACAGCCAATTTTTCTTATCAATTCTAAAGGGTAGATGTCACGTGGACTCATTTCTTCTGGTAGTTATTAAGTAACTACATGTCAGGATACTACCTCATTTGTCTCTGTATCACCCTAATACCTGGTATCTTGTTGGATCATTTCTGATGTAATAGAGCATACAGTAGCAAGGTTGATATCATCGTGATGTGGGCCAGATCCTTATTTTGATCTTCAGTTTCCTCATTATTTCAAAAGGTTAAGTTCAGACTTCATTCTGATGCATGTTGCCATTGTTTTATTATTTAATCTGTCAATTAAGTAAGAAACTAGAAGCTGTACTATAGTTTCAAGTGCATGTGCTTGAGGAAATATTTAGTTATAATTTCATGTTTACACCCTAATTTGGTTTCTAGCATTATGGCCATATGCCCAAATTCAAATGAAAAGACAAGAAACAAAGAGTTCCGTGTTTAACCACTTCTCATAGCCATTTGTCTTCCTTCTGATTCATGTGTTATATTACATAGTTATAATAGATATTATTTTGTTGACCTCCTGCTGTATGCTATGTCAGTATCTCTCATATAAACTGACTCAGCTATCTCACAGCCATGTTTGAATTTATGGTTTATTACTCAGTTTTGTTAAATCATTTTTAGCTGTGTTTGTTTGGGCCTCCTGTTTGTTGTCTGTTCTTCCTTTTGGTCAATTTTTTTTTTTTTTGACAGATAGAGTTAGACAGTGAGAGAGAGAGAAAGAAAAGTCTTCCTTTCATTGGTTTACCCCCAAATGGCTGTTATGGCCAGCGCACTGCACCGATCCGAAGCTAGGAGCCAGGTGCTTCCTCCTGATCTCCCATGTGTATGCAGAGGCCTATGCACCTGGGCCATCCTCCACTGCCTTTCCAGGCCACAGCAGAGAGCTGGACTGGAAGAGGAGCAACCAGGACTAGAACCTGGCACCCATATGAGATGCCACAGCACCGGCCCCTTTTTGGATCAATTTTTTCACATTCATTATAGTGTCGTTTTCAAGCACATCCCAGAAATTACAAAGTCCCACTTTTAGGTAGAAAAATCAGTGTCTCTCTTTGATTCATCATGTGTATCCTTTTCCATGAATTTCTATAATTTATGTCTAATTTGTTCATGAATTTCCACAACAAGCTGTTGTTTCTTGAAAATGTAATGTTGACGTTTTCACTATAAACTACAAAATTTGTATTTCTTTCTTTCTGTTTTTTCCTCTATCTTTTTGTACTACACTGAAAATTTTTGCATTCATATATTCTGCAGATATTTGAATACTACCTTAGGGCTACAACTCTGATTAGGAAGAGAATATTTAAATGTCTAGAATAGGCTGGATACCTAAATAATTTTTATCCTTAAACTTAGTACTTGGTAGTATTGAGTGAATTTCCTATATGATCTTCTGAAGTATTTGTAATATAATATTCTAAAGAAAAAAATAAGTATAAGCCTATTAAATAAGTGAAAAGGGAATTTGTTACAATTTTTGATGACAATTTTCATGTCTTTATACATTTTCATTATACATTATTATGCAGTGAAAATGTTGTTGAGGATACTATAATTATATATGCACGCCATTATTTTTTGTCTATAACCGTAGAAAATATAAGGTCAGGAGTGAACCCTGATGTGGATTCTGGAATCTGGGTGACAGTGGTATATCAATTCAGCTTATTGAGTTGTAACAAGGTACCCCGCTTGGGGGCGGGGGGTGGATCTCATGGGATGTTATGATATTGAAGGTAGCTATGTATGGATTGAGGCAAGAAGAACATGGGAAGTTTTTGCACCTTCTTTTCAATTTTGCCCTGAACCTATTTCCTAAAATTAGTCTAATAAAAAAAGTTATTTCAAGGCCTTCGAACAATTCTGTGTGTCTGCTCTTGCAGGTATTTCACATTCTGCTGTAAATTCTTACTTATTTCATTATTTTCCTTTATGTGTGGGAAAATTTGAATAATTTCATTTGATAATAATACAGTGTGAAAAATAAACAGCTATCCATTAAACTCTTGAATGAGTATTGCCATGTTGGGAAAAAGTAGATTTTGTAATGAAAATTAAGGAAACCAAACACTTTATAGTTCTGAATTCTCTATGGTGAAATGCATAAAATAGGCAATAATACACATTTATTATCTACAGAAAAGCATTTATTATGCTTTACAGAATAATAAAGAAATTTGTATTTTGTCTGTGTGTAACAAACAAAACCCTTTGTTTTTCCCAAAATGATTTTAAGAAAGAAAAACCCA